AAAAAAAAAAAAAAAAAAAAAAAAAAAAAAAAAAAAAAAAACAAAGATCTGCAGAAAATTTCAGGTAAAAAACGATGTAATTTTCCTGACCACCCCTGTGTGAGTAGTGGTCTCAGTCTGGCCACCCCTGAGAAAAATGTCTGGCTCCGCCACTGACACTATCACATAAATGCCACCCTATTTGTCAGAGCTGGTTCACCCACACTCTCCTGCTCGGTGCCTCAGATCAGCCGATCAGCTGCTCCTGGAGGTGCCGAGGTCCAAACGTAAGCTAAGAAGTGACAGAGCTTTTTGTGTTGCTGCTCCAAGATTGTGGAACAGTCTTCCACTTTCTGTGAGACAAGCCCGTTCACTGTCCACTTTTAAAACACATTTTTACTCCCTGGCTTTTGGCGCAGCCTGAGACTTGTTTTTAATTCCTACTTTTTATTGTTACTGATTTTTTATTATTATTGGTTTTAGTGTTTTTAATCGTTGTTTCGTGTTTTTTATGTTTTGATTTTATACATGTACAGCACTTTGTGGCAGCTGTGGTTGTTTTGAAGTGCTTTATAAATAAAGTTGAGTTGAGTTGAGTAAATGCATTATAAAATCACTGAACTGCAGAACTCAATCTATAACATACTACAAATTTCAAGCTAGAACAAAAAATTCAAGAGCTGTTTTTCAAATTGTGCTGAAAGATCATAATAAGCAAATACATTGACACTGCGTTTTATTGCAGGAATTTATTGAAAAAAATCTATCACATGTATTTTTTTTGGCGTAAAATAAATAATCCTGTAAAGTTTCTAAAGCTGACACAATTGAAAGCTGGCCAGTTGAGTTAGAATAAAGAATGTAGAAAAAGACCCAGAGCAGTTTAGCAGGCGCAGAGAGAAATAAAAAAAAAAGCTTCTACTAAAGTGTTAAACTGAGATTAAGGGATGCTGTGTGGAAAACAATTTAATTCTTTGGGATATTTGCTTAATGTATCTTTGAGCGGTATTAAAAGATCGGCATCAGCAGCGGCTCTCCGATCGGCTCTGCACACACTGTTTGCTGCTGCGCTGCCATTTGCTCTAGAGCTCATTTCGGTAATCTCACCTGCTTAGGCCTTTATCTTGGTAGAACAATTTGGTGCCGGAGTAAACATGGAGCCAGTGATGGAGATCTTCAGAGGGGGGTGAGGAGGTGGCTGTTGCTGCAGGGACCATGGTAACGGCTAGGGGCTGGTGGGTTTTACGTCTGAGCAACTTGTATCTGAGGTTGGAATTTGAATAAAACAAAACAAACACACAACGGTTTGATGTTAAGGAATCCATTAACACAGAAGAGCACAAAGACTGTACTTTTGGCAGAGTACACACACACACACACACACACACACACACACACACACACAC